TGGCCGCTTAGTCCCGCAGACTGACAAGGCCACGAGCCAATAGGTAGCCCGATCGGCGCTTCCTTTGACCTGATTGGCTGAGAGGTTCGCAGCCGCGCAGACCACACGGCCAGCGATTGGTGGGACCTTCAGTTTTGAAAATCGTAGGTTTCGCCCGCCCGCGCTGCACCGCCCCAGTGCTTCCCCTGACCCAGGAGGCCAGGAACTCGGGGTCTGGCGGGTGGGGGGGCACTGCGAGGGAGGGAGGACGCCGCTCGTGGATCGCCGCAGCTCTTGGGGGACGCCGGTGCAGTCGAGTAAGTGGACGCGGGCGCGCATTGCGGGGCCGGGCGGGGGGTGCGGCGGCAAGAGGATTTAGTAGCCCTCCCGCTAGCCGGAGCCCCCGAGGCCTGGCCAGTGGCTCGGGTCCACCTCATTCAAACGGCGAGGCGACCTGTCGTAGCCCCGGGAGCTGAGAATGTTTTCTGGACGCCCCCCTCCTCACCCCTGCCGGGCAACCAGGTTCCGAGAGAAGGACCCGGTGGCCTCCCCGGGTGCCCAGTGCCTTGCGGTGCGTCTAGGCAGCCCTTTGTGGAGCGTCGGGGACGCGCAGCGAGCGCGCACCCAGCCGGGGTGTTGGATGGAATTAGGCCGCAGGGCTGCACCGTGCAGCTAACCCTCATCTAACACTTTTCCCCGAGCTGCATTTTAAATGCAACTTTTTCGGGAGGCTCCTGCGGCCGCTTCTCTCGTCTTTCGGCCCACACGTTTTGCTGTCAGCCGCTCGCGTCCACCCCTGTCCGGGCCACCCCTGTCCACTCCGGGCCATCGCGCGGCCCCCCCGCCGGCCTGAGTCTTCTTCGCAGGTGCCCGGGAGACCTCGGGGCGCCGGGCTCGGGCTGGAGTGGACGCGGCGGCCGCGTCTGGAGTTGGCTCCGCCCCGGTTTTTACCGGGCGCCTTTGACTCCCCTGGGTCCCCCGCGGGTTTGTTTCCTCTCCTGCATGCTGCGGCGGCGGCGGCGGCGTCTGGGAGGTCGTGGTGGGACCTCACGCGGCTGCTGCTGTCCGACGCGAGCTTGGTGGACTCTGTCTCTGGGAGCAGGTGCTGTGACCGTCCCCAGAGGCCCCTGGCTTCCTGCACACTCTCAAGAACCCGAACTGCCAAGGGTTGGGGGATGGGGGTGGGGCCCTCCAAGGCAGGTGTCCGGTATGGAAGGAAAGTTTGGGGGTGTGACAGCATTGCAATATGGGAAGGCGAATTTCCCCATGTGTGCATGGGGCCGATGTGTGCATGGGGCCCGCGCACCTGGGGAGGGAGGGGAGGTTCTGACTGCTCTTGGTCGCCACCTGATTCTTGGCTACCAGTCTTACCCCTTGGTCAGGGCCATTGCTGTCACCACCAACGTCCAACATTACAGAAATTATCCCGAGACTTACTTCCTTCCTTCCTTCCTTCCTTCCTTCCTTCCTTCCTTCCTTTTTTCATTTGATCTCAGTGGGCTGCACCCTGCAGTTGCTCAGGGGACCCTAGATGATACCGGGGCCACCAACGTCCAACATTACAGAAATTACCCCGAGACTTACTTTCTTTCTTTCTTTCTCTCTTTCTTTCTCTGGGGCCACCAGCGTCCAACATTACAGAAATTACCCCGAGACTTTCTTTCTTTCTTTCTTTCTTTCTTTCTTTCTTTCTCTCTCTCTCTCTCTCTCTCTCTCTCTCTCTCTCTCTCTCTCTTTCTTTCTCTGGGGCCACCAACGTCCAACATTACAGAAATTACCCCGAGACTTACTTACTTACTTTCTTTCTTTCTTTCTTTCTTTCTTTCTTTCTCTGGGGCCACCAACGTCCAACATTACAGAAATTACCCCGAGACTTTCTTTCCTTCCTTCCTTCCTTCCTTCCTTCCTTCCTTCCTTCCTTCCTTCCTTCCTTCCTTTTTTAATTTTATCTCAGTGGGCTGCACCCTGCAGTTGCTCAGGGGACTCTAGATGATGCCATGGATCCAGCCTGAGTCTGCTGTGTCCAGTGACAACCCCCTGACCCCCAGTACTAGCTCTCCAGCCCGCTGCGAGCTTCAGCTAGGCAGAACTGCCATCTGCCCAGAGCAGATGCTCCTGGGATGAAGCCCAGACTCTTCGGTGTTTTTTTATTTTTATTTTTTTTGCTTTTTGGGTCACACCTGGCGATGCTCAGGGGTTACTCCTGGCTTTGCACTCAGGAATCACTCCAGGCAGTGCTCAGGGGACCATATGGGATGCTAGAAATCGAACCCGGGTTGGCTGCATGCAAGGCAAATGCCCTACCTGCCCTACCCGCTCCAGTCCTTCTTTGGTGTTTATTTTATGAAAGACCCTCATGCCCACTTCGCCCTGTTCCAACAAGGACTTCTGAGAGAAAGAAAGCGCAGCTCACGGTTGCTGCCTGCCAGTCTGCTGCTAACCTTGGTTTTCTTCTGCATCTTCCTCTTTTCCTGGTCCCCGGCAGCGGTTCTGCTCTTAGCTGGCGCTGAGCTCCCAGTGGGGCTGAGGGGTTGTATTGCGGGAAGCCTGCGGGGTATCCATGGTCAGGGGACGGGGGGGACCTGTCCCCTCGGTCAGCACTTTGCAGAGCTGGCAACTGAAGTCTGGCCTATTTGGCCCTGCCCCGATTGGGGCTGCCCTTGGCACCTCAAAGTCGCTGGGGCCTTGGGCAAGTACGGCACGGGCCCTGACCTGCGGAGAGTGAGCTCACTTGGTGTTTCCCGCGCGGAGGTAAATTTTAGGTGTTGAGCATCTGATGGTGTCAGTCATTCAGTAAAGGTTTTTTCCTGTGGGGCACTGTGCCAGGCTCTGGTTCTGAGCTGTGAGCAAGACATGCAGGGCGTTGCCAAAATGTCCAGCGGGCAGAGAGTGGCAGGCAACTGACGGAGGCCTGGTGACACAGGTACCGTGCCCAGAACTCACCTGGAGTTCTGGGTCCAAGGGTGGTAGATCGAGGAGGGCCGCTCCCCCTGGAGGCAGGCCAGGTTTGCGGAATCAAGGCCCCTGTGTCCTGGAAATCAGGCCACAGGGGGCTTGAGGGGGTCAGTAACTCAGCCCCTCTCTGCAGGAGCTTCTGCTCTAGGTTGGGAGAGTGAGCTTTGAGTGGCTCTTGGGTTTTGAGGCCATAGGTGGGGCTCTGGATGTTGGGTGGGGGGCTCCCCTGTCTGAGACTTGCATGAGACTTGCAATCTATTGTGACAATCTATTGTGACTTACCATCACCCATTCATTTGTTTTTTTCATTCATTCACCAGTTGGTCACTGAGCTCCTGTCGGGGCTACTTTGGGGCTACTTCTACTTCGTCCCCACCTGATCCTTTACTGTTACTTTTTTTTTTTCTCTTTTTGGGTCGCACCCGGCGATGCTCAGGGATTACTCCTGACTCTGCACTCAGGAATGACTCCTGGCGGTGCTTGGGGGACCCTATGGGATGCCTGGAATTGAACCTGGGTCAGCCGTGTCCAAGGCAAATGCTCTACTCGCTGTACTATCGCTCTGGCCCCTGCTGCTATTTTTTTTTCACAGTCTTTATTAAATTTTATGTTAGGCAGCGTGGATTGCATTCTGTTAATACCAGGATTTCAGGCATCGCAAGCCCCTCCCCAGCATGTCCACTTCCCCTCACCATTGTCCCAGTGTCCCCCCTTTCACTGAAGACCCCGCATCAGTGTCTGTTGCCTTTGGGCATTTGTTTATCCCCTTCTTATGTTCCTCTGTGTCCCCCATTCTGTCCTCACAGAGTCTTACCGAGGATGTCTGAGTGCTTGTTTTGTAAGAAATGAACTTTGGTTTTTTTTTTTTTTGTGCCTGCCCAGGACTTTGAAACAAATCATGGAAACAAATCTTTGTTCTTTGCTCCTGCTGAGGCCCCCTGGTCTGTTTCCGGGCATTTCAGCTGTGGGGTGAGGTCTGTGGGCCCCTGGGGAAGTTGCTGTCTTCCCTACGGAGCCCAGAAGCCCATTATTCATTGGCCGTTTGAAGGAATGGTTGGATGCTTGCTAACCTGAAACTGGGGATCAGCTCATGTCACGTGAGGTGGCTGTGACTTAATGCTCACCAGAAAGCGGGAGCAGAACCGGAGCAGGGTGGACAGAGGGGTGAGGGGGTCCTCTGGGGGCCGCTACAGATTTGCTTGAGATGCAGGTGGCCACCCTGTCAGGCTCTGGGTAAGAAAAACTTGCTACCAAACTTGACCAGGAAGTGTGACCTCCCATGGCAGTGTGCCTTTCCGTGGCAGTGTGGCCTCCCATGACAGTGTGTACTTTCGTGGCAGTGAGCCCTTCCGTGGCAGTGTGACCTCCTGGCAGTGTGTCCTCCTGTGGCAGTGTACCTTTCTGTGGCAGTGTGTCCTCCCGTGTCAATGTGTACTTCCGTGGCAATTAGGCCTTTGTGGCAGTGTGGCCTCCCGTGGCAGTATGGTCTCCATGGCAGTGTAGCCTCCCATGGCAGTGTGCCCTCCCGTGGCAGTGTGTACTTCCGTGGCAGTGTGCCCTTCTGTGGCAGTGTTACCTCCTCTGGCAGTGTGCCCTCCCATGGCAATTCGTACTTCTGTGGCAGAGTGCCCTCCCATGGTAATGTGGCCTCCCATGGCAGTGTGCCTTCCCGTGTTAGAGTGTACTTCTGTGGCAGTGTGGTCTCCCATGGCAGTGTGGTCTCCCGTGGCAGTGTGCCCTCCCGTGGCAGTATGGCCTCCTGTGGCAGTATGGCCTTCCGTGACAGTGCTCTCTCGTGGCAGTGTCCTCCCTTGGCAATGTGGCCTCCCGTGGCCACCGTGTCCAGGTGGATGACTGGGGTGGCTGTCAGGGAGGGAGTATCTGGGCCTCCTGGCAGCAAGAAAGCTGGTGATTGGCGTGTGGGATCCTGCAGTCTGGGGATGACTGAGCTGGCTGAGCCCCGGGGTTTTGTGGTGAGGGGGGAGGTGGACACAGCAGCCCGGCCAGCTCCTCCTGTGCGGACGATCCCAGCCCCCTAATCCGGTGCCTTTTGTCTCCCGCGGCCAGACAGCACCATGGGGACAGCCGCAGGGCCCATTCACCTGCTGGAGCTGTGTGACCAGAAGCTGCTGGACTTTGTCCGCAATGTGGACAACAAGGACCTGGTGTGGCTGGAGGAGATCGAGGAGGAGGCCGAGCGCATGTTCACCAGGTGAGGCCAGGCCGCAGCACCTCACTGTCCCCCCAGGACCGGGTAGTAGGCTGTGTGGGGTCCCTCCTGGGGGGTCCCATTTAGAAACAGGCAGAGGAAGGAGAGGTGGGGACTGGACCTCAAGGTGGGGCCTGGGAGCCCCTCCCTGACTCCAGGCCAAGGCAGGTGGCTTGCACATGGCGTTGGGGTGCTGCTTGTCACCCCCGCCCACTAGGAGAGACAGGGCGGGGCAGTGGTTGGTGGGCAGCCTTCAGGATCACCCTTCTACCAACTAGAGACATTATTTTTGGATTTTGGGCCATACCCGGCGGTGCTCAGGGTTTACTCCTGGCTCTGTGCTCAGGGGTCACTCCTGGAGGGGCTTAGGGGACCCTTATATGGTGCCAGGAATCAAACTGAAATGTCGGTGTGCATGGCCAGTGCCTTACCCCAGTACAATCTCTCTGGTCCAAACAGGGAGTTTAACAAAGAGCCGGAGCTAATGCCCAAGACTCCGTCTCAGAAGAACCGGTCAAAGAAGAGGCGGATCTCTTATGTTCAGGATGAAAACAGGGACCCCGTCCGGAAAAGGTAGGGGGTGCCAGTCTGGGTCAGCTGGCAGTGGGGCTGCGGGGGCCAGGTGCCCACCAGCACAGCTGGGTGCATGGGTGTTGGCTGGGGACACACGTGCAGGAAATGTGGGGTTACAGGGAGGACCATGCTGGTGTGCAGATGTATGAGGGGCTAGCGGACTGGAGCATGTGTGTGTGTGAGTGGGTGTGTGCCTGCTTACAAGTGTATTGTCTGTGTGTGCGTGCGTGCTTGAGTACTTATGTGTATTGTGTGTACGTGTGTGTGTGCACGTGTGTGTGTGTGCTCGAGTACTTATGTGCATTGTGTGTGCATGCTCGAGTGCTTATGTGTAGTCTGTGTGTGTGCGTGCTCGAGTACTTATGTGCATTGTCTGCGTGTGTGCATGCTTGAGTACTTATGTGTATTGTCTATGTGTGTGTGTGTGTGTGTGCTCGAGTATTTATGGGCATTGTCTGTGCGTACATGTGGGTGTGTGCCCATGTACTTATGTGTATTGTCTGTGCGTGCTCGAGTACTTATGTGTATTGTGTATACGTGTGTACGTGCTTGAGCACATATGTGTATTGTGTGTACGTGTGTGCATGCTCGAGTACTTATGTGCATTGTACGTGTGTGTGTGCTCGAGTGCTTATGTGTATTGTCTGTGCTGCTTACTGTATTGTCTGTGTGTGTGTGCGTGCTTGAGTACTTATGTGAATTATATATGTGTACACGTGGGGGGTGTGCCCGTGTACTTATGTGTAGTGTGTGTGTGTGTGTGTGTGTTCCTGTGTTCTGATGTGAACTGCTTGCGTGTGCATGGAGGGAGGTGAAATCTGAGTCTCATCCCAGAGGTGGGAGAAGGAAGGGAACCCCGCTTTCTGCTTGGGTGAAAGTGCCCGGAGGTGCAGATCTGGGGGCTGGTCCCTGTCCCTTTCGCTGTCTTTGCTGTGTCCCTGGGTGCGACGCAGGCTGCGGTGGGCGGGGGGGGGGGGGTACCCATGCCGACTCAGCCCCGTCGCCGCTATCTGGGCCTCAGTTTCCTCATCTGCAGGGGCGTGTGTTGGGAGAGTGGTTCTGCCACTCCTTGCAGCTTAGGGAATGGCGGGTCACCCCCCCCACAGCAGGGAGCTTGCCCTTGAGGGCCTCCCCTGGTAGGAGGTGCTGGCGGAGGACCTCCCACAGTTTGGGTGGATGGGTGCCCTCGCTGGTGTGCCAGGAGGGTGACTGAGGCGAGGATGGGGCGCCCGGGGCATCTCAGTATACCAGCAGGGCAATCCTGGCCCGGCTCCCTCCTCTCTGGCTGGGATGCTTGATTTTGGGTCCCCCCCCCCCCCCCCCCCCAGCCCAGAGCGGCCGTCTCAGCCCCGTGCCTCCGCCTGGCAGGTTGTCCCGCAAGAAGAAGCGGAGCAGCCAACGGCTCTCCCGGCAGCTCCGCAGCAAGGACAAGGTGGAGAAGCTGGTCACATCGGCCGGGGACAGCCCCGTCCTGCGGCGTGTGACCCGGGCGACGGCCGCGGCTGCCTCCCTGACTGTGCCGGCGCCCATCCCCGAGTCTCCCGCCGCCGCCGTCCCCCCGAAGAAGCCTGAGTCGGGCCCTGACCCGCTCGCGCTGGTGCCGACGGTGCAGATCGGGGCCAGAGAACGGCAGAGCGCCGAGGAGCAGCTCAGCCGGTTGGCCCCCGCGCCGTCGCCCGCCCCCCACGTCGCCGTGTCATCCGATGAGGATTCCACCCCCACGAAGCTGGGGCCTGGGAGGCCCGAGGCCGTGGCCGTGAGCTCGCTGATGACCACACCCCAGGACGCCAAGGGCCGAGCGCCGGGAGCTGGGCGGTCCGCCTCCAAGCTCAGGATCGCCCAGACCCCGTCGGGCCCGCGGGACTCGCCAGCCTCCCCGTGGCAGGAGCGGGTGCTGATGCCCCTCCTGCCCCCGAACTATTCCACGCCCACGGGCGCCCGCATGGACCAGCGGCCGGTGCGGCGCAGCCTGCTGGCCTCGAGCAACCAGAAGGCGCAGGTCTCGCTGGCCGAGAAGTTTGCCCTGGTGGCCAGGCAGGAGTTCCCCGTGCGCAGGTCCAGCAGGCTCAACAAGAAGGACCCGGAAGAGCCCACCGCCGCCTCGGCCCGCATCATTTGTGAGTCTGCAGGGGTGGCGGGGGTCCCGAGTGGGCCCGGGGTCAGCCTCGGCGGCGTTGGCCTGGGGTGGGGGCACAGTGCGGGAAGCTGATCCTTGAGCTTCCTGCAGGAAGGGGTCGTCGTGGTTAGGTGGCCGCGTTGTGGTGAGATAGGCCCAGGGTGGTGGTGGTCACCGCCTCCGCATATCCTGGCTGGCCGTGGGTAGCTGGTTAGTGGATGGGGTCTGGGGTCAGGGTCCCCGAGCTGCTGATCCAATGGGATGGCCTCTGAGCCCCCCTGGATGTGGCCCCAGGGGGATGGAGGAGCTGGATGATTTGAATTTCTGACACCCGTTTGACTTGACTTCCATGTGAGTAGCCATTTGGAACCTGGGAGACAGCTCAGATTGAGACCCGCCTCCTCGGTCCACGTGTGGTAGGCACCAAGGCCCCCGGAGGCTCCATCCTGGCCCACTTAGGGGCTGCTTCCTAGAAGAGAAACCCTGAGGAAGCGGAGGGTCCGAGATTTGAATTCTCACCGCAGGAGACTGTCCTGGGAGGGACAGGTAGTGCCCGTGAATGCCAGCTTGCCCACTGACCGGTCTCTGGCCCGTGGCCTGTGCCCTGTGGTACGTGGTCAGTGGTCACTCATGGGTGTTCTTCCACGGACCTCAGCTTCTTGCCTACCCACCAGGAGTAAGCCTGTCATTTCCCTTAGTGTCTGTCTGCCCTCGCCAGGGTGCTTAGAGCAGACCCTGCCATGAATCCCGGGAATGCTGGCCGTTCGGTCACCACCAGGCCCCTGTCGGTTCGTTGCCTTAGGGGGAGCAGATGTCACCGAGGGTAGTTCTAGAGGGCAGATTGGCTGCATGGAGGAGGAGACTCAGGCCTGAACCTTCGCCAGCTGGAAAAACCTTTGGCAGGCCAGAGCGACAGTCAGGATAGTCGGAGTGACAGCACAGCAGAGAGGGCACTTGGCTTGCACACAGCTGGCCTGGGATCCCTCCCCGGCATCCCGTATGATCCCCAGAGCCAGCCAGGGGTGATCCCCGAGACTGCGGGGCACACTCCAAAAGGGGAAAAAAATGGAGAGGAAGGGTGTCCCTGAGAGGGAGTAGCTAGGAGGGAGGGTGGCTTTGGGTCTGGTCTCATGGGCTTGACCGTCCCCTGAGACAGGATGTGGGTTCTGAACGGTTGCTGAGCGTTTTCTGGCGCCGTGTGCAGAGCCAGAGGAAGGTAGGAGTGGGCAGGCGGGGACGCCCAGAAGACGGTGCCGGCAGAGGACACTGGAGGGCTGGGTGTCCTAGCCAGGGTCGCGGCATCCTCTGGACACTCAGCGTGCTGTGGTGTGAGGAGACCAGGGAGTCCTTAAATCAGGAAGTGGGGGCATGTCTGCCTCTAGTGCGGACACTAGCCCCCAGTGAGGGTCTCTCCCAGGAGGAACCGCCTACTCGGGGCCGGGGGGCTTGGCTCGGGCTGGCCTACACAGCCTCTGTCCACACCCGGCTTTTCCCAGGTCTGAGCCGTTCTCTCTGGCCTTGGAGAGTTCCTGGGCCTGACCCTCACGCTGGAAAGGGGACCGAGGCACCACGCGAGTGATGGGGTCAGGGGAGGCCTGGGTTTCCCTCTGGACCAGATGCCTGGGGGTCTGCTCTTCAACTGTTCTGACTCATCACACCCCTCCCACTCCCGCCCCTTCCTCCCCCGCCCCCAGCCCTTCCCAAACCCGAGGGCCGCTGAGTGACTTTGCACTTGACCTCATTCCGTTCGACTCCGAGCCCCTTGGCTCACTTGCGACTTAAGCAGGACTGGAGGGAGATGGTCCGACCAGCAGGCAAAGCCCCGGCCCCTCCCGTCCAAACCTCAGTTTCCCCATGCATTCCATGGTGGTGATCTCCCCGCCTTGGAGGTGGGCAGAGGGACCCGTCTCTGTGCTGGGCACGTCTCTGCTGGGTGTCCCCCCACTGAGTGCGGACATGGCCAGGCTGGCCCCAGGGAGGGTGGCCAATACCAAGACTCTAGGGGGTCGGGGGCATCTCCAAGGTGGGTTTGAGGTGTGCTCCCCACAGACACAGCTCTTTACCCTCAGCATCCTGGGGGGTGGGTGGGGGAGAGGACCCGGCTCACGGGGGCGAGTGAGCAGATGGCCTTCCAGGCCCAGGCGCCTGGGAAGCCTCTGTAGGCCAGCGTGGAGCACACCGCCCCGAATCCAGGCCCAGCGTGTGGTTCACGAGAATCATTGGCAAAGAAACGGGGTTTGTGCAGCCCATAGGGAGAGGGTCTCTCTGCAACGGGGGTGGGGGCCAGGCTCAGGAGGGGCTCCCCTGCAGGCAGGCTCCTCCTTGGGGCTCCCCTGCATTCATGCATGGGGGGAGATGGGGGGGTGTTAGGGGGTGCGGACAGAGCCTCTGTCCTTTGCTGGCCTTGGTCATTTCCAGCCGTCTGATCAGTTCTCCGTCCTAGCTGGCACTGGGGGGTGCTGCCATTCCAGGGCCGGCCAGTGGGGTCCCTGGGCTGGTGAGGGGGTTGTGTGCTCACCTGTGTGACTGCGTGCCACCTCCGAGCAGGGTCGGGAGGCTCTGGGGTCAGGGAGGCAGGGGAAGGTGAGGTTATAAGGTGGAGGTGGGAGCAAGGATCTTGAGGAGCCGTCAGTCTGTCCTGTCGCTCCTGGGCCCGACTGCTGTGCCCCACGGGTTCTGTGTGGGCTAGTCTCCCCTCTCCCCTTGGACCCAGGGCGCCTCTGCCCCTGTCCTCTGGCACCTGCCCTGCTGGCCTTGCTTTTCTCAGTCCTTTTTTTTTTGTTTGTTTGCCTGTTTGCTTTTGGGCCACACTTGGCCATGCTCAGGGCTTATTCTCTGCACTCGAAATCCCCCCCCTTTTTTGGGGGGGGACTTTTTGGGTCATACCCGTGAGGCACAGGGGTTATTTCTGGCTTTGCATGCAGGAATTATTCCTGGCGGTGCTCGGGGGACCATAAGGGATGCTGGGAATCGAACCCGGGCCAGCCACGTGCAAGGCAAATGCCTTACCTGCTGTGCTATTATTCCAGACCCCAGGGTTCCCACATTTCAGGTCATTTACCCACTGCTCCCCCACGGCCCCAAGGGCCTCAGTGTGTTATCAGGCTTTGGTCGTGGCCTGCTCTTACCCAGCACGTCTTTATGATCCCGGGCATGTCTGTCCCGCTAGAGGGCAGGTGGCAGCCCAGCCTCCCTGGCTGCTCAGGCCCTTGTCCTACGCCCACCCAGCACCTGCTTTGTGTCTGCCCCGCTCTCGCTCCGTGCCCACCGTTGGTTTGGCGAGTCCTGGCAGAGTGGCCGGATGTGTGGTGGGGGGCGGCCGGGGGTCCTGGGGCCTTGACACCTTGAGATCTATCTGCTGCACAAGCTTCTCCCCGACCCCCTTGGGGGGGGGAACCCCATCCGTGCGCGTGTTGTTGAGTCTCTTGGGCGGGGGAGGGGGGCGCATGTTGACAACTGGGGTCTCTTAGGACAGGGATAGCCACCGCTCCATGGCACGGAGCGTGAGGGCATGCTCTGGGCGGTGGGGGCTGAAAGCAGCTCCCTGATTCCTGGGCGGCCCCGGAGACTTCTCTCAGGGTGTCTCTGTTCCCCCCCCCCCCCCCCCCCCACACCCCTGCAGGCCACAGCTACCTGGAGAGGCTCCTGAATGTGGAGGTGCCCCAGAAAGTCAGGTGAGTTGCAGGCCAGGGCACAGGGAGTCCCCGGGCTGGGTGGGCAGTAGCCCTAGGGGACATGCCCCTGCAGAGGCCCACGGATGGGCCACGCCGAAGGGCCGTGTCTTGGCTGGGATGTGGTGGGCATGGGGGCTGGGCCATGCTTGCTCTTGGGTCACACCCTGGCCTGCCTGCGTGGCACCAGTGGTCCCTCTCGTGGGGGGAGGGCAGTGGGAGCCTAGGCCAGTGCTTGGGGTGACAGGGGCCCGATGACCCAGCAGAGGTCGCAGAAGAGACAGGGCCTGAGACTGAGGCCCGTGGGAAGGGGCTCGCCTGGGGTGCTGGTCGTGGGCCCTGGCCTGGGCATCCACGCCTCTCCTTTGGGGGGCTGGGGCTGGCCAGGCGAGTCCCCAATGCCACCTGCTCTGCTTTCAGTTCCCTGCAGAAGGGCCAGGAGCCTGGCCACAAGTCCGGCCAGGAGCCCATGGAGTCCACTGAGCCAGAGGTGAGGTGGGCAGGAGTGGGAGGGCGTGCCCGCGTCTCCTTCTCTACCCCGGCGACACACTGTCAGCACCTTCCTTACCCTCAGGTTCCCAAGAGTGACCAGAGTTCCCCGGGGGCCCGTGGTGCCACCAAGATCGCCGTTAGCACACCAGGCTCCCAGGCTGTGGCCGGGCACCCGCATACCCCACCGGAGGACTCTCCCGGTGAGTGGCTGGATCCGCCGCAGAGACACCCCCCTACCCCCTTGCCCACCCCGGTGGAGCCCCCTGCTGCATCCGAGTATGTGAGAGTCTTGCACCCTGGGCCGAGGGGCCTATCGCCACTGCTGACCTCCATGGCTCCCGCTTCCCACCCTGTAGTGGGAGGTGCCGGGGGGGGGTGGGGTGCTACGTGGGGGTGAGGCAGGCCAGTGCAGGGGATCACGGTGGTCGAGGCCGTGCGGCCCACTCCGCAGACAGGACGCTGGACTTGTCCCCGCCTGTAGAGGATGGGGCCGCTGTGGGCTGCTCTGGGAGCCCGGCTGAGTGACCAGGTCGGGACCGCAGCGGCCCTGGAGCTGGTGTTGCGGGCAGGGTGGGGAGAGACCAGCGCCTTCTCCAGGCAGACTCCCCCGAACCCCCCCACCTGCCCATTCTGCACAGTGGCCTCTCTCTCCACTACCCGCAGGAGGTTCTGCAGTTGACCAGGCTCCCGTGTCTGGTGTGGAGGCCCGTGGGGTCACCGTGGTGGGGTGCCCTGCTCTCTGCAAGCCCCGGGCGGTCTCTGGGTGGACCGCATGCAGCGCCTGCAATCGTGTCTGTGCGGGGGCTGCCACCCGGGCCTCCTCCCCCACCTCCCTCCTCCCCCTGAAACCCCCACCTTGTCCCTGTGCCCGGCTTTGGCATCGCTGTTGTCCATTCCAGACGCCAAGGCGGACCAAGCGGACGGCCCCAAGGAGCAGCCCCTCAGTGCCAGGTGCGCCTCGGAGCAGGGACCCGGAGTCAGGGGCCCACGATTGGGGAGACCGAGCAGGGAGCAGGGTCAGCTTGGCGGGGAGCTGGCTGCTGGCGGAGAGGACCCTCCTGCTTGCAGGCCAGCTCCTAGGGCGGTCCTTCCCCTCCCCTGGGCCCTGGAGACCCCAGCCCTGAGTCCAGAGCTTGGTCTTGCCCGCAGACACGTGCCCTTGCTTGGGAATGCAGAGGGGACCGCGTTGGGGTGTGGGGGGTGGGAGCCTCAGGGTGGCCCCCTGACAGGGCTGCTGGCTCTGCCTCTGCAGGAGGAAGCGAAGCTATAAGCAGGCGGTGAATGAGCTGGATGAGGAGCTGCAGCTGGATGAGGAGGAGGAGGAGGAGGAGGACGGGGAGGAGGAGGATCTGCAGCCCCCCAGGAGCAAGACCCCGTCCCCACCCTGCCCTGCCAGCAAGGTGAGCGGCCACTGCCCGCTGCCCACTGTCTGCCGCCCGTCGCCCACTCTCTGCTGACTGCTGCCCGCTTGTCGCTGGGTGCCGCCTCCGCCCTGGCCCCCGAGCCTGAGCCCGGCCCATTGCAGGTGGTGCGGCCCCTGCGGACCTTCCTGCACACGGTCCAGCGGAACCAGATGCTCATGACCCCGACCTCAACCTCCCGCAGCAGCGTCATGAAGTCCTTCATCAAGCGCAACACGCCCCTGCGCGTGGACCCCAAGGTGAGTGGCCGCGGGGGGCCCGACTCTGCCCTCGGCTTGTGGTGGGGCCCTGTGGGGTGCCCCGGCTGCCCTGACTCTCTCCTCTCTCCTCTCTCCTCTCCGCAGTGCAGCTTCGTTGTAAGTAGTGCCTTTCCTGTCCCTGACACTTAGAGGCCCGTCCGTCCCGCAAACTGACACACCTTAGAACCCTAACACCGGAACTGGGCGGCGGGTGGCCGGCCCCTGTCCCTCGGCTCTGGACTGTCCCCTTCTCGGGGCCTGTCTGGGCCTGAGGGAGCCAGCAGGGTGACCTGGGGCTGTGTGCCTGGATTCCACCTTCAGGGGTTCCTCTTAGCCCTCCCCACTCCTCTTCCTCCTCCCCCCTCCCCACCAGCTCTGGGCCCTCCTCAGGGCCCACGAGGACACCAGGTGAGTCTCGTGTGAGATTTGTTGTGATGTCACGGTCCTGAGTTGCTCTTGTTCTCGCTCTCTCCTCTCCCTGGGAACAATTAGGGGAGCGGTTAGCCCTAGGTGGAGGCCGGATGGTGGTGGGGAAGGTGGACGCTGTTCCTGGAACTTCCAGGCTGAGCCCTGAGAGACTGGGACCGCCCCCCCCCCCCCCCCCACGCCTGGCCAGGCCATATGCCTTTCCCCCTGTGCTCATGCAATGCTCCAAAGGATTTTGCTGCAGCCTCTCTCTTGAGGGCTCTGCTGGTGCCAGGGCCTTCCCAAGGGGCCTGAGTGCGACACTAGGTCCCCACACGCCGGCTGTGGGCTGTGGCCTTTCCTGCTCTGGGGCCAGACTTTGTAGGGGCAGTTCCCACCTGAAGGAGGCCCTGTCCCTTCTGCCCAGGTTCCTGTTCACCTGCCCTCGGGCAGTATAGGGGCCCTAGGTTGATGCAAGGGCATTTGCCGCTGGGCTGTCTCCCTGGCCTGTGTGAGGGAGAGTGGACCCGGCTGGGCTGGAGGGGTGGCAGGAGGCCTGGAAAATGGCTGAGGTGCTCCTTGACTGGGGTCTCTGGGGGGCAGTGCCCAGCAGTACCCAGGGCATGGAGATGCAGAGAGGAAGCCCGCAGTGAGGATGGGACGTGCTCTGCCTGCATCTCTATGCCCGCAGTGCACCTGGGAATCACTCCTGGCAGTGCTCGGGTACCCCAGGGGGTGCCGGGATTGAACCCAGGTTGACCCGAACCCAGGGCAAGTGCTTTCCCGGCTGTGTTGTCTCTCGGCCCCGGTTCTTTAAAACTAGCCGAGGTTGTCTTTGGCCCTGGGGAGTCCTGAGCTGTCTGCGATGCTCAGGGCCTTGCCCGATTGGCACCTGCATCTGGCTCTGGGGCAGTACCTACACACTGCCTCGCCCAGCACAGCCGCATTGAGCTTCCCTGGTTTCTCTGGTGATTTTCATTTATATCCTGGGTGCTCTGATGCGACTCTGGGGGTGTGTGTGTCTGTGTATCCAGCATACCTTCATGGAGCGTGGCAGCATCGCTGCTATGAACACAGGCATAAGGCCCATCAGTGGGGGCTGCTTCTCCGCCCCCGTGCGGCCCCTGTGCTCTTCCTCCCTTGCCCTTCTGCATGGTTATCAGAGAACATCGACTCTGACCCTGAGCTGGAAGGGGGCTCAAAGGGCCCCTGGAGGACAGACGGCGGCTCTGGGCCGCAGGCCTGGGGCACGGGTTAGGGGCTTAGCCGCGCCCGCCTCTCCCCCAGGAGAAGGAGCGGCAGCGCCTGGAGAACCTGCGGAGGAAGGAGGAGGCCGAGCAGCTGCGCCGGCAGAAGGTGGAGGAGGACAAGCGGAGGCGCCTGGAGGAGGCCAAGCTGTGAGTGGCCCCGGGCCTGCCCCCACAGCCGGCCCCGCCCCGCCCACGGCTGGCCCGCCCCGCCCACTCCAATGCCGCCCCGCCCCTTCCACGACTGGCCCCGCCCCTGCCCCGCCTCCTTCCAACCCCAAGACCGCCTGCCTGCCCCTTCCTCAGGGCCCAGCCTGCCTCCACCCTGCCCCAGGGCAGGGCACACCTCCACACCCCATGGAACGCCACCCCCAACCCCCAGGGCCGGCTCCGCTCCCACGGCCACCCCGCCCTCATGGCTGGCCACGCCCCTGCCCTCCCCATGACAGACCACGCCCCCACGACACGCCCCTCCTCGGTCGGCCCCGCCCCTGCCCCACCTCCTCCCGCCCCCAGGGCCTGCCCAGGGCTGGGTCCCACCGCTGCTGCCCCTGTCTGCAGGAAGCGCGAGGAGCGTCTCCGCAAGGTGCTGCAGGCCCGCGAGCGGGTGGAGCAGATCAAGGAGGAGAAGAAGAAGCAGATCGAGCAGAAGTTCGCCCAGATCGAGGAGAAGAACGAGAAGGTACGAGCGTGGCCCTGTGCCCTCAGACCAGTGCCCTCTGACCCGTGGGCCGGGGGTCAGCCTCCCATCTGGTCCCTCCCCTGCAGTTCCCTCTAGCCAAGGTCTGAAGTCCTTTGCCGTGCCCAGTGGCAGCCCTTTGCTGGCCGCACCCGCCCTGCCGCCCCCTCCCAGGCCCTGGGGTACCGGGGCGGGTCTGCCATCCCAGCAGCTCCAGTGTTGCTGGTTGGGGGCTTGCAGGCCAAGGAGGAGCGATTGGCCGAGGAGAAGGCTAGGAAGAAGGCGGCGGCCAGGAAGATGGAGGAGATGGAGGCCCGCCGGAAGCAGGAGGAGGAGGCCCGCAGGCTCCGTTGGCTGCAGCAGGTACGGGAGGACCCAGGGGCACGTCTGGCCCTCCAGCAGGGTGGACACAGGCACCCCCTTCTTTTTTGAGCACTCTTGGGTCCCTGGGATTTAGGACTCGCTGTGCCAGGTCATTGGCTATGTGACCTTGGGCATGGTAGGCGACCTCTCAGTTCACCCTCAGAACAGGGTGAACAGAGCTGGGGGTCTGGGCCGAGCTCTCTCTATTCTGGACACTTCTCTGGGTTGGTGTGACTGCCCAGGAGGGGCAGCTGGAGAAGGGATGGCCGATTTTACAGAGCATTTGGACATGCCGGCGCTGCAGTCCCCGGGGTTGGTCCTTGTGTGCCCAGAAGGGAGACTGATCAGGCCTGGACAGTGTCTCAGAGCCCAGGGTCCCTGCGCCGCCCTTCACTCTGCAGCCCGGCAGGACTTGGGGAAGCTTCGGGGTGCCCGACCCCAGAGTCCTTTTGATGGGCTGGCGCTGGCCCACCCCTGTGCCTCGCGGCCCCGCCCTGGGACCCTCCTGGCCCCCACCCACCGGGCTCTGGCTCTGCAGGAGGAGGAGCGGCGGCGCCTGGAACTGCAGCAGCGGCGGAAGGAGGAGGAGCAGGAGCGGCAGCGGAAGGCGGCCGAGGCCAAGCGGCTCGCGGAGCAGCGGGAGCGGGAGCAGGAGCGGCTGCGGGCCGAGAGGTGCGGCCCCCTGCGGGTCTCCCAGGGCCACTCTGCCCTGGGGGAGGACCTGCTGAGTATGGGCAGGGCAGGGGGGGTGCGCAAGCACCTCCGGCCTTCAGATCCCGATTCCCAATTCTGCATCCGGGGCGGGCGTCCAGGACCCCGCTGTGCTGGCCCCGGTGCTCTGTGCCCTCCCCCAGCCCGTGCCGTGGGTAGAATCCGTGTGTGGACATGCCCTGTGGTCACTCACGCCCTGGCCCATTCCGGGGGTCCAGCAGGCATGGCCGCATGCCTCCTCGGGTTGGGGGTTGCTAGGCTGACCCCCCCACCCCCACTCTCTCCAACCGTTTCCTGGTCCCCCTTTTGGGAGCCCCTGGGCTTGCCACTGTCAGACTGTGGTGGTCTCTGCAATAGTCCAGAAGGCATCTCTGGTCCTGGGCATCTCTCCGGGCCTCTCTGGGACTGAGTTTGTGGGGTGCAGGGGCTCAGCTGTTCTCTTGAGAGATGACCGGTACTGACACCAGGCCTGGGGCTGCCTCTCCCAGGCCTCCAGTCCCCGGGAGCCTGTGTTGGTGCCGCCCTGGGGCGCAGGGGATGGTGGGGAGTGGGTCCCCGAGGGCTGGTTCCTGTCCCCCTCACTGTGTCTGGCACAGGGTGGGGGTGGGGGGTCCTGGCCCTGCAGTGTCAGAGACGGGCTGGGAGGGGGGCCACGGGGGCACGGCTGTGGGCAGAGTTGGACAGTGCTGGCCGGTACTGGGGATTTGTGGGGGCCATGGGGGTAACTACACGTGCTTCACCCTTGTGGCCTGTGCTGTAGGGTGTCCCCACCATGTCACTGCCCTGGCGGGCACAGACAGGGCCAGGGACCAGGGAGGCTGGTGATGGGTCCAGGCGCACGAGATCGTAGGTGGAGGTGTTTGGAGCTAGGGGTCTCTGCTCTGATCAGGATGGTGATGGGAAACTGTGCTGGGGGCGGGGGGGGGGGGTCACTGATCCCCGGATTGATTTGGGGGAAGGTGATCGATGAGCCTCCAGATACACGGCAGCCTTGCTCGAGGCTCGGCGGAGTCTCTGTTGTGTGGAAGAGATAGGTCCAAGCTCAGGGCCCTGGGGAGCCCCTGGCACCTGCAGGCAGACACCCTGCTCCTTGGGGCGCCCTTCCAGGCAGCTGGGCCTGGCTGCCCCTCCTGATGGGCCCCCCTCTGTGTCCTCAGGGAGCAGCAGGAGCGCGAGAAGGCCCTGCAGCTGCAGAGGGAGCAGGAGGAGAAGAAGAAAAAGGTAGGAGGGAGCCGAGCTTGGGAGGGGAGGCCGCCCCGGGCCACCCTTCCAGCCTGACTGGGTGGGGCTGGCAGAAGCCGGGAGCACCCCATTGTACACCCCCCTCCCAGACACATACACACACACACATATACACACAGACAGGTACACATATGCACACCTGCCACATGCACACACAGAGCCCTGCCCTGCGACCCATGCACATGTACACACACACATGTGTGCAGTCTCTGAGCCCTGCCCCATGTTTATACATGCACACATGTGCATGCTCACACACACAGAGGCACACACACAGAGGCGCACACACACACATACACACACTGAGCCCTGCCCCATGCTTACACATGTGCACGTGTGCTCGTACATACACAGACACACATGCACACACTGAGCCCTGCCCCGTGCTTACACATGCACATGTATGCTCGCGCACACAGACAAACACACACATGCACTGAGCCCTGCCCCATGCTTACACGTGCACACTTGCACTTGTGCACACACACTCACGCACTGAGCTCTGCTCTGTGCTTACACATGCACATGTGTGCTCACACATGCACGCACAGACTGAGCCCTGCCCCATGCTTACACATGCACACGTATGCTTGTACACACAGACAAACGCACATGCACTGAGCCTTGCCCCATGCTTACACATGCACACACACACTCATGCACTGAGCCCTGCCCCGTGCAGTGCTTACACATGCCCAGGTATGCACACACATACACACACACACACACACACACACACACACACACACACCACACTCATACATATACGCACACACTGAGCCCTGCCCCGTGCTTGTGTCCAGGAGGAGCAGCAGCGTCTGGCTGAGCAGCGGCTGCAGGAAGAGCAGGAGAGGAAAGCCAAGGAGGCAGCGGCCAGCAGGGCCCTGAACGTGACCGTGGACGTGCAGGTGGGTGGGACGCAGGCGCTGGGACTCGACAGCCTGTGGGCAGGCAGTGAACATGGGAGCATGAGAGAGGGGAAGGACCAAGCTGGCCGGGTTTTTTTTTTTTTTTTTTTGGATTCTGCGTATTTTCTCTTAACCTCAGGATAGAATTTAAGTAGGGAAGGAAGAAGCGAAACTGCATTAAGAATATATTTAAGGATTTTATAGTGAATAACAATACTTATAAGGGGCCGGGAGAGAAGGTTTCAGCCCTCGGCCTCCTAAGTGGTTCCCCAGGCCCTCCAGGAGTGATCCCTGAGCACAGGGCCAGGAGTAAGTCCTGAGCACCGCTGGCTGTGACCCCAACCCCCCAATCCCCCAAAAAATATGTTAAAGAAAAGGAAAATATCAGAGCTGGTGTCTCTTGCTGCTCTTAAATGTGAGCGTTTTATACATTCTCTCGAGCCGTCCTCTGAAGGGGCCCGGGACTGTGGTCACTGCCCCAACCCGGACAGGCAGACGTCTGTGGGTCACCGGCCTCAGGAACTCTCCTGGTTTCCCTCTGCAGTGTGGCAGGATGGGGGTCCATACCTGGTGGGGCCTCTTCCTGGCCTACAGGTCCCAGGCCCTGGGGTGGTGGGAGTGATGGGGGTGGGGGTTGGGTCTGAGGGTGTTGATCTCATTCTTGAGGGACCCACCCTCAGGCCTGGAGGCTCCTGGTTAAGCCCCTCCCGGTGGGGTTGGGCTGTGACACAGATACTTGGTGGCAGGCAAATGGGGGTACTTCAGGAGTGCCCCTGAGAGGATACCTTGGCCGTAGTTGCACCCAGGGGTGGGAGCGCTATCTGGATGGTGACCTGGGGCAGGAGGCCAGGCCCGAGCCAGCTGACAGCCGCGTTGCCCTTCCAGTCCCCAGCCTGCACCTCCTACCAGATGACACCACAAGGGCCCCGCAGCACCCCCAAGATCAACCCAGATAACTACGGGATGGACCTGAACAGTGACGACTCCACCGACGATGAGGCCCATCCCCGGAAGCCCATCCCCTCCTGGGCGCGTGGTGAGCGGGGGCATGGCCGGGATGCCTGCCATCTGTCCGTCCGTCCGTCCGTTTGTGTGTGTGTGTGTGTGACTGGCCCCTGCGGGCTGTGGCTCGGGCCTAGTGTGTGTGTGTGTGTGTGTGTGTGTGTATGACTGGCCCCTGCGGGCTGTGGCTCGGGCCTAGCAGGACAGGCCGGTGAGGTGCAACCTGTGGGGGGAATGACTCAGAGCGGCCGTGGAGTCCAGGCACCGCCTATGGGGGTCTAGGAGGGGGGACGGGACACAGAGGGTGAGTGCGGGGACAGTGTCTGTGTGACCTCAGCCCACTGGGGGTGCTTTAGGGCCAGAGCTGACAGCAGGTAACCTAGGTGGGCCCAGGGCGCGAGGTGGGCTGGGATGTGGGTCCCTTGAGCCCTGCAAGAGCCCTTGCCAGTCCTGGCTCCCTGGGGCCCAGGGAGAGGCTGGTGGGTGGGGGTGGGGCTCCGGGCCTGGTGTGGAGCCAGCGTGGGGTGCCTGCTCTGACTCTGACACCCCCAGTCTGACCCCGCTTCCACCAGAGGCCCCCTCTGCCAGCACCTGCCCTGGGCAGCAGGTCGGGGTTTGGGGAGGGCGTCTCCTCAGGGGGGTGCCTGTGGGGCTGGTGGGGTCCTGAGGGCAGCTGAGCACAGCCCTGTGCTTAGTTCTAGGGCTCTGCCAGCCACCAGCTTGTGGCCTGGGTCAGCCCCTGTTCTAAAGGTGGGAGAATGGATTTGTCTCCTTGGGGCAGGGCTAGGGTGACACCGGGGGTGGGGGACCGCCCAATCCAGTGCAGCCCTGAGGACCCATGTTGGGCCCAGATGCCAGGAGCTGTTGCAGGAGGCGGAGGGGATGGAGAGGAGGAGGAGGGAGAGGAGGGGGAGGAGGGAGGGAGCAGGGAGGGAGGAGGAGGGGAGGAGGAGGACAGGAAGGGGAGGAGGAAGGGAAGGGGAAGGGAGAGAAGAATGGGGTGGGGGAGGAGGGAAGGGGAGGGAAGGGGGAAAGGAAAGGGGAGAGAGAGAAGGGGGAAAGAGGGGAAGGGGGAGGAGGGGGAGAAGGGGACAGAAGGAAAGGGGAGGGGGAAGGGGAGGAGGAAGTGGGGGAGGGGAGAGGTTAGGGGGCAGGGGTTACCCTGAGGGGGCGGGGCATTCTCTGACTCCGCCCGGGAGTTATCCTGAGGAGGCGGGACCTTCTTTAACCCCGCCCAGGAGTTATCCTGAGGGGGCGGGGCCTTCCCTGACTCCGCCCTCCTCATGCCCCTCAGGCACCCAGCTCAGCCAGGCCATCATCCACCAGTACTACCAGCCCTGGGACCTGCTGGACCTCTTCGGCACCATCCCCCCGCTGGACCTGGAGGACATCTTCAAGAAGAACAAGCCCCGCTACCACAAGCGCACCAGCTCGGCCGTGTGGAACTCACCACCCCTACAGGGCCCCCGGGGGCTGAGCGGCCTGGCCTACAGCCTGAAGAAGTACTGAGACCCGCGGGTCCCTTGGCGTCCGTCTGCTCGTCTGTCCGCTGTCCTGTCTTGCGTGTAGACGTCCTCTGTTCTGTGGCTCGCCGGGGGACCCAGGCCGGCTAAGGGACAGCAGGCCCAGGGCCGGCCACCCCAGGCAGCGTGCTCGCTCTGTAAATAGATTGTTATCACGCAGCTAAGTTTTAGCCTCTGGTGTTTGAGAGACCGTTTCTTAATAAAGTCTATTTCTGTCCACCTGCTGTGGGTGTGATGGAGGTGGGGGTGGGGTGGCGGGCACTCTAGAACGTCTGGCCGGATTTTGGGGTGCAGGGGATAGGCAGGAGGACCGAGGCCCTCTCCCTATTCCTGCGGTCAGTGCTCCAGGGTCCCAGCCGCTGGCCAACGTGGAGGGCACTTCTGGTGGCTGTCTCTGGACAGCCCTGAGGACCCCCATTTCCTGAGGGCGGTGGTTTAAGAGGCTTCTTGGTTTCCTAGGGTATATGTGTTAGGGGTGGGGACTCTGTAAAGGAGGCCTCCTCAGTAGGGAAGGCCGCCACCGGCCTGTCCACTGTCCAGGCTCCATGTAGAGGAGGGACCGGAAGGCGACCCTGGCATCTCATCAGGTGGCTGCCAGCTCCACATCAAGTGCCAGCGAGGTCCTGGTGGGCTGAACCCAGCCAGGGCAGCTTTTATTGTGTAGTGGCTGCCCTGTGGCTGAGGTCTGGGGGTAGGGGCAGCAGAGTTTCTAGGGCCCTGTTGACGAAGCCCCACCCCAGGACAGATGCTTGCTCATGCCCAAGTGCTCACTCTGCAAGGTGCAACGGGACCCCCAACCTAAGGGACCCCAGATGAAAATTGTTTAAGTGGATGCCAAGGCCAGAGACGGGGGTGGGGTAGTAGAGGGGGTCTCAGGAGGGAAACTAGGAAGGAGCCACGGAAAAGGGCTGAGAAACGCTGGAAACAGCGGGGAAGTGGCACCTCGCACCCACCCTGGACAGTCCTGGGATTCTCCGGGTGCCACTAGGCGCTACTTATTGTTGTTTGGGGACCACATCCAGCGGTGTTCAGGGCTTACTCCTGGCTCTGTGCTTAGGAATCACTCTGGCAGGGCTTCGGGGACCCTGTGGGGTGCCAGAAATTGAACTTGGGTCAGCTATGTTCAAGGCAAGCACCCCACCTGCTGTCTTATCGCTGGGGCCCCAACGAAGTGCATCTTAACTCTTAGTTTGGATTTGCTTCGTGCTCTCGGGGCAGGAACTTGTATTGCATCAACAGGGAGTTTCGTGCCTTTGCCTAAAACCAGGGTCAAAATGCTACTTCTTCTAAGCATGTTTATACGTGCATTTGAGAGAAAGTGATTCAAGGGACAGTTACAGGAGCTCAGTGTCTTCATCTGCACCTGGGCTTGTGACTTCCTTAGTGGGGATGGAGTGGGAGCTCACCACTGTCCACTGAGCTCCGGGAATGGACACAAGGAACATTGCTCTGGGCTCTTACTGCTGTCTGTGTATCCCTCTGGTCTCTTGTTTCTGTATTCCTATTGAGTGTGTGTTACGCAAACCAACGTCAAAGACGTACCTAGCATTGATTTCATTTGCAGCTTTGTCAGGAAGAATGGCATTGCTTTTGATGAAGTTCAGGTTATTCAGTTTGGGGGGCAGGGGCAGGGTGTTGTTTGATGAAATTTGCCTGGAAAATATTTCTTGGGCTCAGGATCTCAAAGATTACCCCTTCTGTTTTTTTCTTCTTTTTTTTTTTTCTTTTTGGGTCACACCCGGCAATGCACAGGGGTTACTCCTGGTTCTGTGCTCAGGAATTACCCCTGGTGGTGCTCAGGGGACCATATGGGATGCTGGGAATCGAACCTGGGTCGGCCGTGTGCAAGGCAAACGCCCTACCACTGTGCTATTGTTCCAGCCTCTGTTTTCTTCTTAATGGTTCACATTATATATATTACATTTAAATCTCTGTTGTGTTTTATGTTAAACTTTTTTTTTGGGTGCGTGAGGTTTATACTTTAATTTCTTTGGGCAGGGCTACAGATAGATGGATGGCTGATTGTTCTAGGATCATGTTGAAAGATGATTTTTCATGGAATCTCTTGTGTCTTTGTTGGAAATCTGTTAGCTTTATTATTGTGAGTCTGCATTTCTGGACATCTCTTCCACTGACGTTTTTCCCCTTTGAACACCACCTTGCACGGGATTATTGTGGCCTTATGTATATATCATAAAGTCTGATTGTGTGATTTTTCAACTTTAATCTTTTAAACATTTATTTTGGGTCTCCTCTTTTGCCTTTAGTATTCATTTAGAATCGATGTATCTATACAAAAGTCCTGATATATATGTGGTTGCATTAAATCCATAATGCAATGTGGGACCAGTCACTTATTTATGAGAGTGAATCTACTTAGCCATAGACATGATGTGTCTCCATTTTTGTACATCTTTGTTTTCTTCCATCACCAGTTTTATATACCCTGTACACATTTTGTCAGATTTATAGCTAAGTGTTTTCTTGGAGCAATTGTGAACGGTGCTGTTTCTCCAATTTTGATTCCTGCTTGTTCATTGCTTGTATATAGAAATACCTTTGATTTTTTTTCCCTATGTGTTGCCTTTATATCTTGTTATGCCACTAAAGCGTGCTAAGAGGGAAATTTAAACATTAAATGCCTATGTTAAAAAAAAAAACAGAACTTGTCAGTGACTGCCACTTCTGCATGCAGACACTAGAAAAAGAGAAGCAGGAGAAGAAGGGACATAGAAGGGGAGCAGCAACGATATTGGAAAAAGATATTGGAAAAAGAAAACAGTCATCCAGGGCATTTCATTAACCCCAGCTGGTCCTTGAGAAATGAGAGGGGTAGAACAAAAAAAATGCACCGATGTGTTGCAGTACAGTTAATAACTGAGGTGAGATGCACACACATTTCTTGGAAGATATAGATAAATTCAGTTCCCTGGAGGAGAAATAGCAAGTCCAAATTTATGAGGGGTGAACAGTGTGTAGCTTCCGCTCGCTTGAGTGTTTCAGGCCTAAATCCTTCCAGTCCAGGAAGCCCTTTTTACTCTGCGTGGTTTCTTCCCGGAAACAGAGGAGGAAAGAAACACATTCTGCTCCCCTAGGAGCACGGCACTGCCCGCAGCCCCACCAGAGATGGGAAGGGAATCCAGGATGCTATCCCTCAGGACCATTTGCATAGAAAGTCTTAAAAAAATGTTTTAGTGAATGAGGACCAGAGTGATAGTACAGCAGGTAGGGTGTTTGCCACGTGCACATCCCTGGCATTCCATATGGTCCCCCAAGCATTGCCAGGAGTAATTCCTGAGTGCAGAGTCAGAAGTAGCCCCTGAGCATCGCTGGGTGTGACCCAATGAAAATAAAAACAAAAACCCAAGACAAAACAAAGCAAAAATGTTCTAGTGAATCAAATCCTTACGTGAAAAGGAAAACATGTAATCAAGTAGGATTTATTTCAGGAATGTACAAAAGTAATTTTTTTTTTTTTTTTGGCTTTTTGAGTCACATCTGGTGATGCACAGGGATTACTCCTGGCTCATGCACTCAGGAATTACTCCTGGCGGTGCTCAGGGGACCATATAGGATGCTGGGAATCGAACCTGGGTCGGCTGCATGCAAGACAAATGCCCTACCTGCTGTGCTATAACTCCAGCCCCACCGAAATAATTTTTAAAAGCAAACTTTGTTTAATGGGGAAAACTTATTTTATAAAAATTTTAGTTGGTTTGTCTTTTGGGGAGGTCAGACCTGGCAGTGCTCAGGGCTTATTCCTTACTGTGCTCAGGGATCACTCCTGGCAGACTGGGGGACTATGCCAGGTGCCGGGGATTGAACCCACATTGGCCACATGCTAGACAAGCTGTTCTGCTGTTCTATTTCTCCAGCCCCTATTATGTAAAAGTTTTTATACAATGAAAGTTTAGGTCATATGTTTATTTTTATTTCGACTATATTTGGCAGTGCTCAGGGTTGACTCCTGGCTCTGTGCTCAGGGATCACTCTTAGCAGTTCAGGGAACCATATAGGGTGCACACAGTCAACCCAGGGGATAGAACCTGGATTGGCTAAGTGAAAGATGAGTACCCACATGGCTGTACTATGCCCCCCAGGTCACATGTTTGTGGTTCTGGTGTGCAGTTACCACAGGCCACTACCAAAGTACCTAAGACCCTCCACCGATGCCCTGTTGCTTCAAATTCACCTCTTCATTCAGGTCCACCTCTCCCACCTTACTCGGTAATTTCAGTTTTGTTATCCATGGTCAAGGTTTTGTCACCACCAATGGCTCTATATTCTTGTTTCGATTCTCAGATGACTGAGATCATTTGGTATCTTTTTCCTTCTGACTCATCGTGCCTCGAGTACCATACACATTACTGTGAACTGTAGTTTTTTTTTTTGTCCTGAATATCGTAATTTATTTTTTAATTGAATCACCATGAGGTACACAGTTACAAAGTTGTTTAGGATTGGGTTTTGGTCATACAATGTTCCTTCACCTGTCCCTTCACCAGTGCACATTTCCCACCACCAATGTCCAGTTTTCCTGTCATGCCCTCCTCCCTAATCCCCTCCCCATGACACTTTTCTTCTCCCTCCCTCCCTCTCTCTCTCTCTCTCTCTCTCTCTCTCTCTCTCTCTCTCTCTCTCCTTTTGGGCATCTGCTTTGCAATACAGGTACTAAAAGGTTATCATGTCTATCCCTTTACCTACTTCTTTTAGCGCTCAGTTCTTGTCCAGAGTCATCATTTCTAACTATTACTTACTATTACTTACTATTGCTGGAGCGATAGCACAGCGGGTAGGGCGTTCGCCTTACACGCGGCCAACATGGCCGACCCGAGTTCGATTCCTCCGCCCCTCTCGGAGAGCCCGGCAAGCTACCGAGAGTATTCGATATGCCAGACACAGTAACAACAAAGTCTCCAATGGAGACGTTACTGGGCCCGCTCGAGCAAATCGACGATCAACGGGAGGGCCTTTACCTTTACCTTTACTTACTA